GTTCGTAAGGAAAGAAACCCTACTAGGATCAGTGAGTCCTTCTTCTGCTCTCAGTGGATGGTAGCTAAAACAGAGAAATCAGACTTCTACCAATTAGTTCATCTTAGTTGGCTTTATTCTGCACTCATTCACATAATTTTTCCCATAATTCTTTCACTTCTGCTGAAACACATTATTTTCTACAACCCACAAAACTCAGGCGATGAATAAAACCTATTTCACAATTGAAAAATACACTCAGCCACTGTTAGCTCACACTCAGGTAGTTTTTCTCAGTCAATAGAATCTTTAAAAAAATGCTTTTTGCCTTACAACTGTAAGGAAAAATGTTGACTGATAAAGCAAACTGTTAAAACAACTGTTTTATTTTAGTTTTTTAATGTTAGTCCTTGATTTCAGACAAAGAAATCCTCTGAATCAGAGGTTCAGCCTTGTTAATTATTTCATGCTACAATCAATAAATTAAGCAGCCTTTACCCACGCTATTCAACAGCCTTTATCCATGTTATGTGAAGGATGCTCACCTAGTGAAGGAACATGTGCTCCCACCTCAGATTCTGTCACAAAATTTGGACCTAATCCAAAGTATGTCCAAATCTCTATTAGAAAACAGACTCTGCACTGCTCGTGTTTATATCTACGTCCCTTTTCTCTAAGAGGAAATGTCTCAATTTACTATATTGTCTACTATATATAGTCTATAATATATTATCATTATATCCATCTATATATATTATATATTAATATTATCTATTGCCTATTTGTATTGTTGAAGAATCTTTATGTGTTGGGTTAATAGAATTTTTATTTTTTAACTGTATTTTTTATAGATAAACTTGTTGATAAAATTGTGAGGTTTATTAATACTTTTGTTAAGTTTGTCAGAAAATTAGTGTATGGTAGAGATACACATATTTTTAAAATCTGTCTCGCAACAACTTGTTCACAAAACCTCATTTCAAGTTCTGTTTATGGGTAATCATTTTACATGTGTTTAAATCACATTTTGATTTTCTGTAAACACAGTTTTTACTACATAACATATACTATTGCTAGTTTTATATACATGTTTTCATTGTTATCTTTAAGAACTGAGACAAATCAACATCTAATCTGCAGGATGATAGTGACCAGGACAACCTGTGCATATGATTATCGAAAGATTCAAATCGGGACTGATACTGGACAACACCCAGAGCAAATGGCAAATCCAACCCCAAAAACTTATGTAGTGCTACCTCATTTTGAAGTTGTAAAAGGTTTACTTTTCAGTCTTGGTGTTGCTCAAATGTTATGGGAATGGGGGGTGGGGGGAGGCAGGGGGTGAGGAACCAACACTGAACCCAACAGAAATCTCAAAGCTGAAGCCTAGAAAAACACAGCTTCAGTGCATGATGCAAGAACAGGTCTACAGGGCCACTGAACCCTGTATCTGCCTGCACTACAATCCACCAGAAAGATGCTGGATAGTTTTAGGTCTGGGAAATAACAGAGGCAAAAAAACAACTTGGAGCAGAAGTGGGGCAAGCAATGTGGAGCAGAGCAGGTATTTGGGCCTTGCTCTTCTCTGCAGCTCCCTACAGCCAGCTTCATCAGGGCAGCCTTCAGGAGGAAGACTGCACTCTCCAAGATTTTTTGTCGTAGTTCATCATCCTTTTATTTTATTGTAATTCTATGTGGTGCAGCTAAGCTGTTCACAGACAGATAAAATTATATGTATTTTTTTCACTTCAGCTCATGTCTCTTCTTCCTGTGCTCCATACAATTATTTTGTAGCACATGAGGAAAAATGTTTATGTTCTGTCTAATTCAGTCTAAATAAAATGTTAAAAGGTGGCAATCTCCTTAAACATTACTGATCATTACTTACAAAACTATATTTTAAAATTGTGAAAACAAATGCTTTGACCTTGTGAGCTATGGAAATATTTAAAAAACAAATCTGCTACGCTTTTTTGGCTAATAGTTGTGATTTGCATAGTTGAACCTTGAATGCAGTCATAAATAGCTACAGAATCCAGCTTGGCATAATGCCCAGCAATGTTAGGGTGCCAGACAAAAAATCGGGTCAACCACTTACCAACTAAGTCATTCTGTCTCAACAAGGTGATGTCTAACAAAGAAGCTACAAGGCTGAAGACAGATAACATATTCAGCTGCTGTTCATAAAGACAAGAACTTTTCATTTATCAGGATAATCTACTACTTGTAATCAGTACACCGAGTGAACTCCCTCTTGTAAAAAAAAGAAAAGCCCATCAATTGTTTTTGCTAATTAAGATGAATATTATTCCTGTGAAATGAACCAAAAAGTTCTGTGTAACCAGAATCCCAAAAGAGATCTATAATCTAAAAGAATAATTGCACAGAGGTTTTAATTGAGAGGAAAGTGAGAACTATTTTTTGTCTTCTGCAGTTTTTAGCTGCGATGTTCTTCCACGTATGTTAGTGGGTCTTTTGTGTTCTCAGTTTATCAAACATGATTTCTCATATATTAGAAGTTGTGGAATTAAAAATTAATGACAAAATGGTTATATATTTAATGAAATGCTACAACTAAACGTTACATGTTTAGGAGTAATTTGAGGTAACATCCTTTATTAACATATGTAGAAAAAAAGTCCATTTTTAGATTAAAATCTAGATATTGTGACTGTTCATAGCAATGTGCATTTAATCTTTATTCATTAAGCACAGCTAGCGTTAGATATGAGAAGGAAAGTGTGTTTTCTTAAGGTGATATTAATCATATTCAACAATTTATTTTCTTCTGTGACATTTGTCATGGTTTTAGGATTAAAAACAGCCTTGCAGTGTTGAAAGTGAGTAATATGAGGAAGCTCAGTTTCCCGTTCCTTAAACAAAGGACACCCAACTTGAAAATATATTTATATTTGAATTAATACTTACATAAAGGAAAACCATAATCATCAGAGTATCCCTGTATTCCTGAGCAAGTCAGGGAAAATTCATTGAGGTGTACATGGTTATACATATAAAAATTAATTATCCCCCAAATAATCTATTACTGTCTTTGTTGTAGTAACCCTTAAGGTTACTACAAGCCTTTGTCCTATCTTCTTTGCTTATAGTGTAAATCACACAGTTGGCCTCAAAATAAAAATAATTATAATTTCACTTAACATGCAAATTTAGAGTTATAAATTACCTCAAATCAGGATACTGGCTGAATACATTTGTTTTCATGAAAAATGAAATGTTGTCTCTCTTCTGCCCTTCCCCCAAGCCTTCTTCACAAGACCTGCCTCAGGCTGAAATGGTTTTAAGTAGACTAAAGCTGCTGGTAAACACTTACCTTTGACAATATTATTGCCTAATGAACATTGCAGAAAAGGGTGTGTGCAGTGCAAGTGTCTGTCTGACTGCAACCTACATAGGATCCTTGTGCCTATTGCTAATAGGCAAATATACACAAAAGAGGCAGGCCTTTTGATGGTTTAATCCCAAACATACTTAACTGTCACATAGTTAATCTTTTTGATTAAAAATCACTCTTGAGTTCTTGAACATTTTTATGTTTGTGGATGAAGGAGGTTAAATGTAGTTCTCATGCCTGTTTGGATTGTTCTTTTTGCTTTTCACTTTTCCCCCCACCCTTAGTTCAACATGACTTTTCCCTCTCTTTAATCACAGATATGCCCCTAAAGGATCCTCAATCCTGGTATTTCTGAAACAGCCCCTGTTAGCAGGGAGGTAAAAATACATTACTGATTATACCAAAGCAGACTTCATTGTTATTATCAGAAGACTAGATCTACAGGTCAAAACCAAGCATTTCAAACCAGCTTCACCTGCAGGTTTTACTTTCCTAGAAATGTTTCAAAGAACAACTAACCTTCCACGTTCATCAAAAATCAAGTCATCACTCTTAAAAGTTTATCATAAAACTTATGTTTTACTATTGGTTTTCTTGAACACTGGCAACTTTGATACTTTCTATCAAAGACAACAAAAATTCAGCCCCACATATTTAAAACCTATCATTGTTTTAAATGCATGCATTAAAGTTTGTGAATAATCTTTTTTAAAGAGTGTTGAGTTCCTTTTGGGATTAGATGGAAGGTCTTTCAAGTGTAACACTAAGAAGCAGTCACATTTCAAATCAGAATTTGTGCTCAGATGGGATATTTTTGGGGTAATATTTCTTTCCACTTTAACAGTAGTTTCACTTCATGATGGTTTTATGTTTATTTCAGACTACATTTTATGTAGCGGGAAATACTTTTTTTGGTAAAGTGAATGCCCAAGACCTGTTGGAAAACATTTCTCCTTAGCAACATACTCACAGGATTCAGTATAGTTTGCTCAGAAGTGTTATTTTAGGATGACCTTTACACATACAGTATGATGAATTTTTCTTTTTATTTGATTGTAAAGATGTTATGATCAAGGGGCAAAAATAAATATTGTCTTTTTCAGCCATAAAAAAAAAAAAAAAGAATGACAAATGAAACCATCTTTTTTAAACAGCATGATAGCATGCAGAAATGATGTCTACGTTTGGAAACTACTTATTTTTAAATTCACAGATACAGCAAAACCGTAGTGAAAAATAAATAAAGATCAATTTTATACAATTCAAATGGCAACACATGCGATGGAACTCACCCTTTCTCAGCCTAAAGAAGAGGGATATTTACATTGTTCACTGAAAGAACATGTATTTATGCTTATGGGAATTTATACATGATAATAAATTGTTAAGAAAAATAAGAAGTTGAGCATTCTGGGGTCAGCAGCATTTTCTAACAAGAACGTTAAATCCTAAATTAATTTCTTTTGAATAATTAACATAATGTTCTGCAAATCTTTTCTAGGTAGCTTACAGGATTTTAATATTCAAATATTTTCACTTGTATAAACCATATAATTATGAAATTGTACAGTACAGTTATTTCTCAAGCAATTTGGCAATCTTTTCTTACAATAATTTATCTTATGTTCTTTGTTATCAGAAACACAAATAGCTTTCTGCTTACCATTCTGGAAAAGATGGAATTCATCATTCTGCCATAAAGACCCTAGAAAGCAAAGAAAATGTTATTAGTTATTATACTCTTATCTGCAGGGATTCTAGCTGCCAAACAATGCATCAGCATCAAAACAAAATATGAAAATATGTGTCCAAATCATGGATCAATAGTTTAATGCAGTTCTGAATAGATATTACATGTACTTCACAGGTACCAGATTAGAAAAAAGCACAGGTTATTGTGCATATCTGTATTTAGAACTACATGCCAGCTGGAATTTATTTGCATAATGTTAATAAAATACAGACATAGGATCTTGGCATCCAACTTGTGATTGTGCTTTTGAAAATAAAACCATGGGCATGCTGTCACTCTGCTGTGGAGTGGGAGAAAACAGGGAAGGAATGTGCATAAATGGTTAAGATGAGAAGAGACAATTATCAATAAAATGTTAAAGATTTTCTTCTGAACTCATTAAGAAATTTGCATTATGTTTTACAAATCTTTTCACAGTTACTCAAATAATTAATCAGCCTTTACATTTTGCTTTAGGAAAAGATTGCTCATGGGTTATAAGTTTACAATGGTTAGACTGGGGTACTGAGAAAGTACTAAGTACACCACACACCTCATCAGCATGCTTTAACTGTGATGTGGAAATCAAAGAATGGATACTAGTTAGCTCTCTTTTCTTCCTTCTTTTCTATTATCCCTTTCAGTCTGTTTTATACCTGACATCATAGCTATTATGTTTTCTTTAGAAAGAAATGAATCACTGCTACCAGTTCCTCTAACTAAAGGCTGAACAGAGAGTGATCACTCTGTCTCAGTATCTCCACAGAGAGGATTTTAACTTTTCTATAACATCTTATGCTATACGTACCAATTGTGTGGTTCAAGAATAAAAAGTTTTCAGGACAATAGGCTAAATTCTACGATCATTTCTCACACAGAATACAACTTTACTCCTGCTGAAGTGTCCAGAGTTAGTACAAAATCTGCCTAGCTGCCTCATACATAGTTTTCAAAGCTAAAACAGTTTTATGCCAAAGAAGGAAGAACACTTAAAACCCACTTGTTATTCTTAACTATTTTCATTGTTTGAGAAAATTAAATCCTAAAGTAAACATGTAAGGGAGAGAGTTAAGGAATTAAGTTTAAAATTATGTTTAAAAATTTGTTACACTAACCAAGAGATACAGTCACAAACCACTTTTAAAAAAATGTAAATGTCTATGCAGGGCCATTATATTTAAAGCAAAAAACTGAAAACTAAAATAAATAATAGACGGATTCCAGATTCTCACTATGACCACATATACTGCTGGATGAAATATAGGTATTTACAGGTAAGGGAGTGTCCAGATAGAGAATTCCCCGGTATAGTACAGGAGTTATTTCCGTTCAAGAAGTTTACCTTGGGCAAAAAGGGAGTTTCCAGGGTGTTCAGTGCCGCAGAAATTCAGACTTAATCTAGGTTGCAGCACAGCACAAGATATGGGGAGCCTGTATAACGCTAATGTAAATCAGAACAGTCCCCGAGGGCTGCTCTAATTTACGCAAAGATTCATTGGCTTGTATCCAGCCTTGAATCTGAGCATCTACAGAGATGGTTTAAAGCCACTTTAGCTCCATTCTTTGTGGGCTACATCTTCTGTGTGGTGCTTCGTGTGAGATGTAGCACTGAATATCTCTTTTGCTTCATTTATGAAATGCAGGAAAATAGGGCCCCCCTCAGCCAAAGAAACAGTATTTCACATAGGCTTAAAAAGAACCCTTTGAACGTCCATCTCAATTGAGCCAAATTCCCACAAAGCACTGGCTTCTGTGCTCTTCCCAGAGATCTTTGCTCTTCAACCCTCACAGTTTGCAAACCGTGCTGTTTGGATGAGGTAATCATTAATCCACTGCCTGTTCAGGAGTGTTACATAAAAAATCCATTCATTTCAGCAAAGCGGTAGTTGCCTTTCCTCCACACAGCTTTTGAGTCCCCTTGCTACAAAGCCATAATATTTTTTTTTTCCCAAAGCTATTTGTAAACCAATAAAATTTCACCATTTCATAAATGAACAAAAGTTCTCATTGACTTCAAAAAGAATTATATTCGGGAAAGGGTAGATTTTTCCTCTAGTTCTTAATAAGATTCTACAACATGACTTACAATGTTGTGAGATATGAACTGAAAATTGTGGGCCTATCCCCTACCCATCAGCCAGGCATGCAAGGCTCCAGACTGATAAACTCAACTTTCACACAAGTATCCCCTGAAGTCATTGCAGCAATGTTTGTGCTTAAAGAAGTGTATGTTTTAATGTTCTGCTAAATAGCGGCCTAAATTCCTACTTGGATTCAGATGAGCAGAGCAGCTGAAAGTAAAGTAAGTTTAGTGTGACAGCTGATATATGAGTTCTTTTGGGACACAAATAATTTCTAATAACAGGTTATTTGCTGGCATATAGAATACAAAATGCTTGTTTTAAAAGAAGTGAGTCAAGGCTTCTAGCTCTTGCTTTCAATGGATGAAATAAATATTCTGAGTATGTGAGTATGACCACCCAGTTCTCGAATTTTGTATAAGAAATGTTAACGAGTTTTAAACTTCCTTTTTTAAAATCCGATTTGTCTTTTACTATTGCAGCTACTTTCAGTGTCTCTGGCATTGGCATTACAAATGCTGACAAAACCCAATTTACTGAGTTATGTAGTTCCTGTTTTCTCACTACAGTTTCTAAATCAATAAACAAAATCACCTATTTTTAATCACTAGCTCCTGAAGAGGGCAGCACGTTCTAGATATTATTGAACTGTAAGCTTTGAGATGACAGCCGGGCTTTACTGTACTGCACACAGAGGAAGGGGGAATAAAAACTTTCTGGATATTTTGTATAGACAGTTCCCATGATACAATAAGTCAGCAAAAGTTCTAGGCTGTTACAGACCAAGGTCAAAACTGTATCTGATTATTAAAGAGAACATTCAAATTAGCTACCTGAAGCAATGCATTTAGAAAGAAAGCAACAAAATACCAGCAAGGAGTACTTCCACGAGGAATATGTTTTATCTTTAACATTGTAGATAACTTTTCCTATTGGCAGTGCATTGACTATCAAAACTACTAAAGGGGTTAGATTTAATTATCTCACTTCTTTGCACATTTCATCTCAATTGCTATGGCAACATTCAGTTGCCTCAGCAGCAGTGTACACTTTAATCAGATATTTCCTCACTCATTTCTCTGTGCACCACAGCAATGTAGTCAAATTTACAGCCAAACCCTGATGCATCTGATAACACCTCTTAGGAATTAATGGCTAGGTTTTCCCTGCCCTTCACCCATAGCCACAAATATTTCTAGAGTTTTGCACCCTGATGACAAAGGCTTTAGGAGATGAAAAGTGTGTATACTTTAAATCTTTCCTACTTCACTGATTTTATGTTGTTTTCTGCCACCACTCCCTTTTTACATGGCTTGAATTTACTCAGGAACTCTTCCCATCAAGCTATGGGCAGGTCTTCTGGTCCCTGCAGGAACTCTTTCAGGGCTGAGAACAGGAAACACAATAATTGGGTAGACAATATGGTTCCTCCCATATTCCACCCTGCCCTGAAAAGCTTTTTGTTTGATTACTCAGCCCTGATTAAATGCTTTGTCAGAGTACATCATAATTCTTTAAACTTCTTGGCCCAGAAATCAGGAACATAGGCTAAAATAAAAGTAATTAGGAGTGATGAGCAGATACTGAGGACTCCATATTGAAATGCAGACGGTAAGAAGAGTCAGGAAGCTAAAAGTACATGGGTGTTACTAAATTCAGGTTATGGGAAGTTTTGACATTGCTGACATAGAATATCATCTGTCTTGAAAACATGTCACCACCAAGGTAAAGTGGAACAGAGATAAGGTCCTAACAATGCCTAGCTTCTATGGTGAAAGCCACATTAGAAATGTATTAGATTGAATTAGATTGGATTATAGTCAGACATATAGGAAATAAGGGTAGACATACATCATTGAAACATAATTCTGCATATTCTGAAGATTGTCTTTAAACAGTCAATTAGCTGATTTGGTTTTGTGGGTTTTTGGGTTTTTTTTTGTGTATTTTTTTTCATTAAAGAATATATTCTACACTGTTTTTTGCTTCTACATGCATATTTCATAGCTGTTCATCTGCTCACATCTAATAAACAATCACAGCTCATTTTCAAGTAAGGTCTTGGATTACTGCTGTCTTAAAGATTTTTTGAAACCCTGGGTAAGTGCAGAGTTGACTTCAGCCACTGTTGTCCCAGAGAGGTATAATGGAGTCAGAGTCAGAACCAGTCTACATCTTGTCAATGATAACAAAGTCTGATCAGCCCCTCTGACTGTGCAATATTAAGTCACTGTACAGTTTATCTCAGTGTGAGCCACAGCAGCTTTCTTAGAGTCTCCATAACTCAAGATACTAAAAAACTGTAACAGCACTGACTTATTAGGAAAATACAGGGAAAAATGTGCCAAGTATGCTTTTCATACATGACAAGGGATCCCATCATATATAACATTAAAGTCTATGTTACATGGGTTGTCTCTTGAGGATCTGGGGAGACTTTTCCAGCTGAGGTGCTGAAGCCTAACATTTGTGGGCCCATGTCATACGACAGCACTATCTCCTAATCCATCAGTGAAGTTGTTACATTTTTGGGTTCTGAAGGAGAAGCTACAAGTTACAGAATCTGCAACTCTTTTTCACATCAGTACCTCTGAAGAAGTCCCTTTGAAACCAAATGGTCTAATCTTATAAATGAAAACTATTTGTGTTTGCAGGGCTGGTCCCCGTAGTTTAAAATAGGTATTTCCCTTCAGCTCTGTATATATAATATAAGCTTTATATGTAACTATACACTGTAAATTTTAATAATGTGTCCAAACAATATTTGTGCCATAGAGGATGAAAAGATCATTTAAGGTTCAGAGTTTGCAATTCTGTACTCAAATTGAAATTTAAAACCCACCCAAACTTTATACCTAAAGAATTCAATATCCGTGCAAAACTAAAGAGTAC